CTAGAACAGTTTACAGCCAGCATCCTTTAGTGAGTAAATTATCGAGCAGCTAGCTAGAACAGTTTACAGCCAGCATCCTTTAGTGAGTAAATTATCGAGCAGCTAGCTAGAACAGTTTACAGCCAGCATCCTTTAGTGAGTAAATTATCGAGCAGCTAGCTAGAACAGTTTACAGCCAGCATCCTTTAGTGAGTAAATTATCGAGCAGCTAGCTAGAACAGTTTACAGCCAGCATCCTTTAATGAGTAAATTATCGAGCAGCTAGCTAGGACAGTTTACATCCAGCGCAGGAGCAGAGCTAAACTGAAGACGTCACTTCACTAGGAAAGATTTTGAAAGTTTCGTATTTGTAACTCTAAATTAGTATTTAAATATGTAGTAACCAGTAAACTATGTTAAAGTAAAAATATAGACCTTGAAAAAGAGTTCCTGGATCTTTCGGGAACGTGTTGTCAAAATCTAGAAAATAGTTGCATAAGTAGACAGAAGAGGGCCCTTTATAGAAACCCTAATAATTACCTTTATATTTCTAGTCGCTATTCAAGTTATGTCACGCAATACTTCAAGAAATAATGTGTCGAATCTAGATCATAAAGAAAATGTTTCACAGATATTGAAAGTATTTATATAAAGTAAAGCCGGGAAACTTCCAGGTGCTCCTCCTTTGTTTTGCTTTATATAAAGTCTATGTACTTCTCTTTAGTTGAACTGAACACGTAACAAACGTCATCACACATAGATATACTTTGGTATTGCATTCGAAACAAAAAATAATCCATACAATTAACGAAACAATAAAAAGTTTTATGAGCGCCGTTAGTCGTTATTTATCTCATTTTTTTTCCCTCCAATGATGTTGAGAAACCTTCACTTCAAACGTTTTTTTTTCACCTGAAATTAATGCCAGCCTTGATACAAAGTAATATTAATTTTGTGACGACACAAAAGAATGTTATTAGTTTTGACGTACAAAGATAAAAAGCAGGTAAATTTTAGAAGCATGAGTCTAAAAAAAGATAACCATATTTGTGTCCTTCATAGTTGTGTACGTTTTACCAGACCGGTTTAAAATAAACAAGTTAACAAGTCTCCTGATTACTACAGATGATTTCAAATCACGATGAAGCGGAATGTATCAGATCTAAGTTTGACATTAGTTGGTTTGCATAGATAATGTGATGAAACTGAAAACTGATCGCTTTAGAAAGGAACATAACATATTTTTCCTATGCAACACATTCATACACTCAGATGTGTTCAGATCTGGGTTTAGAATTTCTAAGACATTTCTTCTAGTTTGCGACACTTGAAAACAAAGGAATATGGATCAACTTGAGATACCTGAACCAATAAGTAACTACCTTCTAATGCAACTACATTTTAATCAGAACGTTCTTCTTTCCGTCACGTTTCTTGAACAGGATTTGTGTACTGTATTTTTATAACATATATTTCATTTAGTGAATGTTATGGTGTTACTCTCTAAATGCAGCCATAAATTTACTGACTTTGCTGTATCACAGTGCACCCAAACGGTAGTGTAATTCCTACGTAACTACTGCACCCAAACGGTAGTGTAATTTATACGTAACTACTGCACCCAAACGGTAGTGTAATTCGTACGTAACTACTGCACCCAAACTGTAGTGTAATTCGTACGTAACTACTGCACCCAAACGGTAGTGTAATTCGTACGTAACTACTGCACCCAAACGGTAGTGTAATTCGTACGTAACTACTGCACCCAAACGGTAATATGAATTGTATTCAACAAATGTCAAACTTCAGATAGAGAAACGGGTCGAGCAGTTTAATGTCAAATTAAAATACGACTTGAATATCTTTTCCTGTATCTGTTTTAGGATTTAGAAAATCTTTAGTTCAGCAGTTCTCGTGCAAGTCACTCACAGGTTTGTATTGGAACTGGTGTAGGATTTAGAAAATCTTTAGTTCAGCAGTTCTCGTGCAAGTCACTCACAGGTTTGTATTGGAACTGGTGTAGGATTTATAAAATCTTTAGTTCAGCAGTTCTCGTGCAAGTCACTCACAGGTTTGTATTGGAACTGGTGTAGGATTTATAAAATCTTTAGTTCAGCAGTTCTCGTGCAAGTCACTAATAGATTTGTATTAGAGCTGATCTAGGATTAAATAACCTTTAGTTTATTTCGGCAGTTCTCATGCCAGTCACTCACAGTTTTGTATTAGAGCTGATCTAGGATTTAATAACCTTTAGTTTATTTCGGCAGTTCTCGTGCCAGTCACTCACAGATTTGTATTAGAGCTGATCTAGGAGAGTGACTGGCATGAGAACTGCCGAAATAAACTAAAGGTTATTAAAACAGATTTGTATTAGAGCTGATCTAGGATTTAATAACCTTTACTTTATTTCGGTAGTTCTCATGCCAGTCACTCACAGATTTGTATTAGAGCTGATCTAGGATTTAATAACCTTTAGTTTATTTCGGCAGTTCTCATGCCAGTCACTCACAGATTTGTCTTTCTCTTCCAGTGAATCAGATTTACTTAGTTGTAGATGAACCTCAGTCGGAGCGACTCCTCGTCCGACAGAAAAACAGTCCAGGTAGGATGAACATGCTTTAGGATACATTTAACAGCTAACACTTCCAATAAATCTAACCTTAACAACATTTAAAATGCAATATTTCTGTTGGATGTAACACATAGTGTTCCTCCAAACACTCGCCCTCCGTTATCTGCATTATTATAATAATATTGAAATGAAATTTACGTAATTTTGGATTACAAAAAGAGAAGAATTCAACGTATTTTATTATTATTCAGTACATTAAACGCGGCTCTTCACGATATCCATATTTCTAGAAAGCATCTGGAAGAAGAAGTTTTTGAAAGAACGAAAGAAAACTTCTGAGTTGGAACATGAGTGTACTAAAAACAGGGACTTGTTAGAAAAATTCCATCGAGACCTTCTGGCGAAATTAGAACTTGGTATTAGTAACAATGTTGTGACAGGGAAGGCTGGACTACCTTCGAAAAAGGTGAGCAAAATGAAAAACAGTTCTAGTTCCCACACTTTTCCTAGTGCTAGAATCTCTTTCTTATGAAGACAATACTGTAAAAATTCAAAATATTCAAACAAAAACATTATCTAAATGAGACCATCTTATATTCAAAGTTGTCAAACATCATAAATGACTTTTCATAACATCTTACTTGTATAGTAAAATATTATTTAGGTATTTTGTTTGAGGTAGACTTGAATACTAATTCTGATAATGACATGTGGTCACTGACCTTTCCAATTCTTTTTTACTGAAAATTCCTTTTTTTTTTTGCTGTAATGTACTCAAAACTAATTTGATTTACTGAGCATCTCGAAACAAATTTAAGATTTTTAAGTCAAAATAAAACAAGATTTCTTAAGAACTATAAACTTTCCTTGTGTTCAGTTGCTTTTGTAGACGCAATAATGCAGTGGTCCCTTAAATGTTAATAAGATTAGTAAAAGTTGTTTATTTGAAAAGGGGTAATAGGGATCGACAAAAAAGCACAGAAATAAGTTGAATCAAAACGCAAGCCTTCAACTATGGACTTTAAAAAACGTAAATAAAAGAGGCTGGAAATAGTGTTTACATTATTTTCTCAAGCTACAAATCCCTATTTTGGCTCCACTAAAGTTGATAAGTACTGTAGAAATTGAGTCAAAAGGAGTTTTGTAGCTTGTTTATTTACTTTTTTTTGAAGTCCCTAGTTGTAGGCTTAAAAACATAATATTTGTGTTTGGATTCAACTTGTTACTGTATTTTTTTGACGATCCCTATTTCCTTTTTTTAAATTAACAAGTTTTACTAATATTGTTCCTTAAGTTTTTATGTCTATTTGCGGATAATACATTTTATAGTACATAAGTGCATATTGTTTCAGTTGAATGTTACATGTTTTTCAACAGTTTACTGCTGCATTGTTTTGTTTTCTACCCGACCATTATTTACTGAGCCAGGTGGCTTTGGTTTGGTTGAAGTTAAGCACAAAGTTACACAATGGGCTCTTGGCTATCAGTAAAGAAACCATGTTTCTAGCGTTGTAAGTCTGCAGACATGCCGCTGTGCCACTGGGAGGGCAGGTGGCTTTGCGCCTGAGGTTTCGCGTAAATGCATTTAAACACGTGCCGAGTATAATTGCAGACGTTCATAACAACGTCGCATCTATTCTGTATTTATAACCATGTAAATTATCTTTCAATGTAAAATAATCAACTTTTTAAATATGTCATGGACATTCCGAGCGTTTCATGTAGAATATTTGTCTAGGTTTTGATGCAAGATACCCAGCCGATTTTCTGTAGGCTTGTGAAACAATAATATGAATAATAATAATAATATGAACAAATGGGCAAAATTTGATTTTGTCTAACACTCGTGAAAACGCTTATTTTGCTTATTATCAATGTTTGGGTGGCCTTAACTATTGAACAGGAAGGTTTTGAGTGTTGTTTCGAGAATAAGTCTGATTTTTAAGGTAGTTTTTGCCCCAATGTTCTATTAGAGTTTGAGCAAATTCCTGTGCGATCTCTAATAATAAGGCTGGAGACACTCTAATAAATAAACACATTGTTTACTCTGATAAAACAAAGAGTTTCCGACTAGTATAAAACAGAGTATTTCTGATTAGTATAACGGTGTTTAAATATTTTCTACATTTCTACGATACTTGAATGGCTTTGTAGAGTTTATGTTGGTAGCGAAGAAGAACTTAGACAATTTTAGAGGGTGCCAATCTCAACTTTCAAGAATCAATTTAAAAATATCCGTACAACCTTCGCAGGAGTTTGTTTAGTAGCTGTATATAGATTTTGGTGCAGCATACCTAGCCGTTTTTCTGTACGCTTCGGTGTTTGAATGGCTTCGAAGAGAAATTGAATAGTAACGATGAAAAACTGATAAAATCTCTCCTACTCTTTCAAGAATCAACATAAACATAATCCTATGTACCTGTACATTCATAACCGTTTTTCCTGTAGGGTTGTGAAACAAGAATAATATGAATAATAATAATATGAAAAACGAATGGATGAATTTTGTCTAACAATCGGAAAATCAACTTTTTTTGCTATTATCAATATTTTACCAGCCTTAATCATTGAGATAGAAGATCTTGAGTGTTGTTCCAAGAACAAGTCTGCTTTCTTAGATAGTTTTGGCCCGTATATTCTTTAGAATTTATGTGAAATTCCTGGGCAGTCCCTATTATGAACCATTGTCTTGGTTCATGATATTTTACTAAATAGTTCACTTTATTGAGATTGTTCGTAATGCTTTGTTGAATATATTAAAACTGGAGATATATATTTTTATTATTAAAATTGAGGTTATATATTTTCATTTTATTGTTGAAACTGGAAATATGTTGAGGGTATGTATGCTAAACGTTTAAACGTTAATAGTGTTTGTTTGTTTGAAGTTAAGCACAAAGCAAACAATGGGCTATCTGTACTTTTGCCCACCACGGGTATCGAAACTCGGATTTTAGTCCGCAGATATACCGCTGTGTCACTGGGGGGAAGGTTAATAACGCTGTAATTATTAAATAATAACACATAGTGTAATTTGCTTCTTTCGGCCGTGAAAGCTTTTATATAAATAGTAACTTTATTCCAGGATTTTATAAAAAGTTACCTATTACTACATATATCACAGATAAGAAGTTGAAAATCGGTTATCAAATGAGTTATTGAGAAAATCTGTTTGTTTCATAATAAGACATAAAGTTAAACACAGGGTATAGTATTTCCTAGTTTTGAATTGATAGGTTATGGGGACGGCAAGCTAGTCAAAACACTCATGGCCAACTCTTCGGTTACTCTAATTAAATAGTACGATTTGAAAGAAATCCTTATAAAGCACTCACGGAGTCATCGCTGCAGTAGGACTCTAACCACGAACCTTTGGATTCACAGTCTTGGCACAACATATAGTAGGCCACGCTCGGCTCTTTGTTACAGACTTGAACTACCGGTATCATCATCTGAAACATGTATAAAATCCTCTAATTTCGAGATATATATACCGAGTAATTGAATAGCTGACCACAGACTAAAACATGAACTTATGTTTGTAAGTAAGCTTCTTAGTCTAGAAAAAAATGTTTAGCAAATTCATTTCATGCTTTAATAGTTATCCTTGTCTTTAACAGTTTTATTAGCTCATTTAAAACTCAAAGATTTATGTGTTAATAAAGCATAACCCTGAGTATACTGAGATAGGTATGGATAGGAATAATACTTGTGTTTTTTTATACAGTTAAGTGCGAAAATCGCAATAGCTCGACTTCTTCAAGAAATTGAAGATCTGAAAAGTCGAGTAGAATCTACTAAATTCCGACACAAAGCTGAAATTAAAGTAAGTAGCCACAATGAAAATCTATTTTGGAAAATAATTTAGTCAAAAATCAAGTGAATAAAAAAACGTTGGCGTGATGACAGAGATGTTATGTTTCTGTAAAAAGTAATATGTATATTTTTAAAACGTTGGCGTGATGACAGAGATGTTATGTTTCTGTAAAAAGTAATATATATTTTTTTAAATGTTGGCGTGATGACAGAGATGTTATGTTTCTGTAAAAGTAATATTTTTTTTAAATGTTGGCGCGATGACAGAGATGTTATGTTTCTGTGAAAAGTAATATTTTTTTTTAAATGTTGGCGTGATGACAACAATGTTATATTTCTGTATATTAATGTTTAATTTTCCACTCTTCACCAAAACTCACGGTCGCTTTTCACATTGTTGTAGCGTGTTCATATTAGTGGTCAAGAAGATAATGTTTGTTGTAGTATGTTCTTGATAGCGGTGAAGAAGGTGTTGTTTGTTGTAGTGTGTTTATGTTACTGGTCAAGAAGATACTGTTTGTTGTAGTGTGTTCATGTTAGTGGTCAAGAAAATACTGTCTGTTGTAGTGTGTTCATGTTAGCGGTGAAGAAGATACTGTTTATTGTAATGTGTTCATGTTAGCGGTGAAGAAGGTACTGTAAGATGTAGTGTGTTCATGTTAGTGGTCAAGAAGATACTGTTTGTTGTAGTGTGTTCATGTTAGCGGTGAAGAAGGTACTGTTTGTTGTAGTGTGTTCATGTTAGTGGTTAAGAAGATACTGTTTGTTGTAGTGTGTTCTTGTTAGCGGTGAAGAAGGTACTGTTTGTTGTAGTATGTTCTTGGTAGCGGTGAGGAAGGTACTGTTTGTTATAGTGTGTTCATGTTAGTGGTCAAGAAGATACTGCTTGTTGTAGTATGTTCTTGGTAGCGGTGAAGAAGGTACTGTTTGTTGTAGTGTGTTCATGTTAGTGGTCAAGAAGATACTATTTGTTGTAGTGTGTTCTTGTTAGCGGTGAAGAAGGTACTGTTTGTTGAAGTGTGTTCTTGTTAGCGGTGAAGAAGGTACTGTTTGTTGTAGTGTGCTCATGTTAGTGGTCAAGAAGATACTATTTGTTGTAGTGTGTTCTTGTTAGCGGTGAAGAAGGTACTGTTTGTTGTAGTGTGCTCATGTTAGTGGTCAAGAAGATACTATTTGTTGTAGTGTGTTCTTGTTAGCGGTGAAGAAGGTACTGTTTGTTGAAGTGTGTTCTTGTTAGCGGTGAAGAAGGTACTGTTTGTTGTAGTATGTTCTTGGTAGCGGTGAAGAAGGTACTGTTTGTTGTAGTGTGTTCATGTTAGTGGTCAAGAAGATACTATTTGTTGTAGTGTGTTCTTGTTAGCGGTGAAGAAGGTACTGTAAGATGTAGTGTGTTCATGTTAGTGGTCAAGAAGATACTGTTTGTTGTAGTGTGTTCATGTTAGCGGTGAAGAAGGTACTGTTTGTTGTAGTATGTTCTTGGTAGCGGTAAAGAAGGTACTGTTTGTTGTAGTGTGCTCATGTTAGCGGTCAAGAAGATACAGTTGGTTTTGGTGTTCCTTTTGGATATATATAAATATATCGTGTATAACTTATATTATTTAATGTTTATCTGTAAATATTTTATACGTGATATAGTTAAATAAAGTTCAGATATATTTCTCTATAAACAGCTCACATGTCTCGTTCAGAACGAGGTTAAGATACTCCGTCGAGACCTGGTCAAGAAGAAAATTCAAATAACTTTACTGCGTAACCAAGAGCAGTGCGCAATGGACATGTCTCAAAGAGACAGTTATATCAGTATTCTCTAGTCACTTTGACTCGATGAAGCAGTGCGCAACGGACATGTCTCAAGGCGTTAATATTCTCTAGTCACTTTGACTCGATGGAGCAGTGCGCAACGGACATGTCTCAAGGCGTTAATATTCTCTAGTCACTTTGACTCGATGGAGCAGTGTGGGATGGACATGTCTCAAGGCATCAGTATTCTCTAATCACTTTGACTCGATGGAGCAGTGTGCGATGGACATGTCTCAAGGCGTTAATATTCTCTAGTCAATTTGACTCGATGGAGAAGTGTGGGATTGACATGTCTCAAGGCATCAGTATTCTCTAGTCAATTTGACTCGATGGAGCAGTGTGGGATGGACATGTCTCAAGGCATCAGTATTCTCTAGTCAATTTGACTCGATGGAGCAATGTGGGATGGACATGTCTCAAGGCATCAGTATTCTCTAATCACTTTGACTCGATGGAGCAGTGTGCGATGGACATGTCTCAAGGCGTTAATATTCTCTAGTCACTTTGACTCGATGGAGCAGTGTGTGATGGACAGAGCTTTACGAGGCAGTTACATCAGTATTCTCTAGTCACTCTGACTCTAAGAACAAGCCAGCTGCAACAGTATTGTCTCGTCATACTGAAATTATTTGTATAATGAAATTTCCTACATAAAGACCACTAACATTCTGTATCAAAAATTCAGTGTAATACAAATCACAATGAATTGACTAAAACTAAACAAAGTTGAAATATTGTAATAAGAGTATTGGTTGTGATTCCTCCATTATTTAACCTTTTTCTGTATTGATCTCGGAGCAAGAAAAAAAAACAACATATCGAATGTAAACTGTTGCTAAGCAATATGTGGCTCCATCGTGGGACTGCAAATTGTACTATAATCCAATATATTACTAAAAATTGTGTAATAAAATACAGTTTTGTAACTAAATTACATATAAAGCTCTCTCTATTTCTTTGTATTATAAAAATACAACCGAAAACAATGCAAGATAAAAAGAGGTTTTTGTTTATTAAAATTTAAGGTCTGAATTGAGTCAGACTTTGTATTTAACGAAAATCTTGTCAGCGGTCGTCATGACAACTAACGCCAAACATGACTGGTAAAAGTTCCAAGTCTTAACTATCTCAAGTTGACCTTAACTTAATCAAATAGTTATTGCTGTCTAAGTCTATTCAACTTAGGCTAAAATAATATTAAAGTATCCACGAAAAACAATAAGTAATCTATTATTTGTTACAAATTTTGATCCTGAAACAACAGGCTATGGCTACACAATGCTATTTTTATTACGATTAATGACAAAAATTGGAAATAGATGGTTTAATTTTGCTCATCTCTACTGCTGTTAAAATACACGATTAATAGAACAAATAATGTACATAATGTGTTAAAAAAGACGATTCTTAGACCAAACAACGTACAAGAAATATTAAAATACACGATTCATAAACCAAACAACGGACATGAAACATAAAAATACACAATTTGTAGGCCACATAACTCGCGATTAGAATCCCCTTTTATCGAACAATGTATGGAAAACATAAAAAAGCACGATTCATATCAAACACAACGTGGATTAAATATTAAATTACGTGATTAATAGACTGACCACATGGGTGAGATATTAAATTCATAATTGTGTTGGTATTTGTAGAAATAACCAAGAGATGGCACTACTTAGCTCTTCTTCAAACCTAAAATACTCTGTTTTGAATAAAAATTAAAGCACCTACAACATAATAAAACAGAATGAATTCCTTAAAAACAGGTATCTACCGTAACATCTAGCACGACTAATTCTAAATATCAAAGTATGAATATTTTGTTTTTGTTTTTTTCGGATATTTGACCAAAACCAATAGTCCCTAATTTTGAACCATACAGCAACGAGAAGTAAGTCTTTAATAACCCCAACTTTTGGGCTACTTTTATCTAACAGAGGGATTTAATTGTCAATTTGATAACGTACCCAAGATGCCGAGCACGATATTTTGTTAACAACCGTACCATGGTCTCTGAGATCCATAATCTACTTAACCACCCCCGGTTTGAATATTATCAGCTCATATAGATATTTGTCCCTTATGATCAAACGGGTATATGTCTTCCTGTAAACACGCTTATCACCAACACAAATCTCCATGGAGAAGTAAACCCCACAAGTTTTCTACGCTTTTAATTACTCATCAGAATTGAGCATTTTAACCAAATATTATTCTAGTGATTTCATATGTTAATCTTCCATTTAAAATCATGTTTATTTCATTTTTATTCAAAACAATTTCTTAGTAGAGAATCACCTATAAATCCATTTTACAAAATCAGCTTTAATTATTCGTTTCTTCAAAGCTCTGTTCATAAGTGTTTTGATAAAAATTTATCTTTATTTGTTAAGAAAACAGTTTTTACGCGATTTTCTTTAAGACTCAAAACGAATCATTGAAAATAATTTAATATATCGTAGCAGATGTAGATGTAGGTTTTTAGATAATAAAAATATCGCAACCATTTATTCTGTTTTACAAAAATCACAATATCTCGGAGTGATAACATACTATAGATTTCATCAAAAATTACGGTAATCTATATAAATATAACAATATTGTCTGTTGTCTGTCCATGTAATTACTTCGCATGGTATGAATGGATCTTCACCAAAATTGGTATGGAGGTTCATTAAGGAAGATACATACAAATTTTCAGTTTTGCGGTTTTTATGAGCGTTTTTAACCACTACTTCGCCCCCTGTTGACGGATCTTTACCAAATTTAGTATGAAAGTTTGTTTGTTTTATAATTCATAACGGCTCTAGTCTAACTTTGTTATACGACTCAAAACAGGAAAATAAACTAATTAACTTACTAATCAACAAATAAATGGATAGCAGCTCTGGCCTAGCTTTGTGAAAACACTAGTAATACTTTGTATAGTAGGGTCTAAAATAAATCAATTAATCTGAGAATAGGATGATGGGTATCTTTATTTGTCGTTAAGAGCAGTTACCCAGACAACGACCTTTCGATAAGAGCATTTTAATCACAAAGAAGCAGAAAAATAATGTTTAATAATAAACGACGAGTCTTACCAACGTTTTCTTTGACTTTTTATTGATAATTTTATGACATTTTAAAATTGATAACGGCTATAGCATAAGTATTTCACGAATCAACAAACTAATGGATAGCGGCCCTAGCCTAATTTTATTATAACATTAGTGATACTTCAAATAATTTCGCCTAAAGTTAAATTGTAATCTTTTGAATAGTTAGGCCTAAAGTTGAATTGTAATCTTTTGAATAGTTAGGCCTAAAGTTGAATTGTAATATTTTGAATAGTTAAGCCTAAAATAAGTCAATTAGTCTTACCACAGGCGGATGGTGTTCTTTGTTGTTAAGCCTTTCATTACCTAGACCGAATTATCGGTACGAGCTTTATCATTATAAAGAAACAAAAATTAATGTTTATCAATAAATGTCTTGTTTTACGAATATTTTCTTTAAGTATTCATTAACAATTCTAGTACGTTTTTTTTTAAACTTATAACGGCTCTAGCCTAAGTATTTCACTTACGAATCATCAAACTAACTGATAGCAGTTCTTGCCTAACTTTTTTATAACACTAGTAATATCTTTGAATGGTTAGGCCTTAAGTTGTAGAATAATAAACGGACCTTTTCTCTACGTTAAAATACTTTTATTGCGACCTTTCGGCCCTGTTACCGGAGCCTTCATTGGGCAATAATGCACTGAACGAACAAATTCATTAAACTGCCTGGTTTTTAATTTTTTCTAAACTACTTATAATCACCAAAAGCTCGTAATAAAAGTATTTTAACGTAGAGAAAATTCCGTTTATAATTCTACTTATTAATTTACCTACGTTATGAGTTTTAAACAACAGTTAGGCCTTAAGTTGAAAAGATAAGCTTAACTTTGAACAGTTAAGCTTAAAGTAAGTCAATTAGTCTCACCACAGGTGGATGACTGTTTGTTTGTTGTTAAATACAAAGCTACCCAAAAAAGGATTGTTAATACGAGCTTCATTTCATCGTAAAGAAGCAGAAATTAATGTTAAACTGACAACGGGAAAACAAATTATTTCACTTTCTAATCAAGAAATTGAGAGATAGCGGCTCTAGCCTAACTTTGTCATAACACTAGTAATACTTTAAATAATTAGGCCTCAAGTTAAATTATATTACTTTGAATAGTTAAGCCTAAAGTAAGTCAATTAGTCTCACCACAGGTGGATGACTTTGTTTGTTTGTTGTTAATTGCAAAGCTACCCAAACAAAGGACTATCTATACGAGCTTCGTTTCATCAGAGAGAAGCAGAAAATAATGTTAATTGAAAAGCATCAAGATTTAAGAAGATTTTTTTTATATTTTTCATTAACAATTTTGGGGCGTTTGTTTAACTGATAACGGCTCTAGCCTAAGTATTTCACTCAACAGTCTAGTATTAATATGTCTTCTATACACCAATATGCATTACAGAAATTAAAGAATATGTATTTTACTTACTAATCAAGAAACTGATATATAGAGGCGCTAGCCTAACTTTGTTATAACATATGTAAGACTTTGAATAATTAGGCCTAAAGTTAAGCTATAATACTTTGAATAAATAAGCCTAAAGTAAGTTAATTAGCCCTATACAAGTAGATGGTTCTGTTTTTGTTTTGTTTTTATATGTTTGTTTGTTGATGATGTTGTGAGCAAAGCTACCCAAACAATCGATACCCGGTTTTTATTGTTGTAAAGCCTCCCATTTACCATTCAGCCATCGGGAAGCAAATGATTTTTCAGCCGCCTCGTTTTGTTTTTCAACTTTTTTAAAAAGAAATTCATTATATATTGTATTATAAAACTATAAATATAACAATACTGTCTGTTGTATGTCCATGTAACTTCTTCGCAGGGTGTGGATGTATCTTCACCAAAATTGGCATGGAGGTTCATTGGGTCCATAGGGAAATATATAAAAAAATTTAGTTTTACATTTTGCAGTTTTATGGCGTTTTTTACCACTTCTTCGACTCCTGTGCATGGATGTTCACTACATTTGGCATGGTTTGTTGAGTCCGTGGGAAGATACATACAAATTTTCAGTTTCACAATTTGTGTTTTTCAGTCTTATTGGCGTTTTTGCGATTTTTTTCAATTACATATAAGAGAAGCATCTTTTCATTTTCTAAAATAACCTTTTATCAATCATGTATTTACATAACTTCCGACCAGTGGACGGATACTCCAGCTAGTCTATAGATAATTTGTTTTTGCACGCTAACAATGCCAAGGACAACACCACGACAAGAATAAGGTTTTATTCCAACCTTAAAATACCAGCTTTTTAACTATTTAAAACTATTTATGCATCAAATTGCTGGTTCACGTATGAGTTTGTTAGTTCCAGAGACCTTAACGACAAGATTCCCTTCAGAGAAAAACTAACAAAGAACTTGTAAACAACATATACTGTCTATATTACAATTAATAGCACTAATTACTAATACGACTTCCTGTGTAATTTAAATAGAAAATGAGTGATTTCAAAAAAATGTATTTTTCTTTAGGTACTTTACACTGAGTGTTATAATGTATAAAAATATACAATAACTCAATATGATGCGATATGTGAACTCAACCAGTAATTAACAGTATCAGAAAAAGTCAGTAGTTTGAGGATTTAGGTATTTACATTTATTGTTGAAACAGCTAACAATATAAAATTACGAAAAAGTTCTAACTCGAAGGTTGCGTGACAGAATAACAAATAAACGTGTATAACAATGTTTACAAGCGCTTGAAACAATATGATAAAGGCTCCAGAAATAGGGCAGTAAGCTCGCAAATAAAAATA